GAGAGAGAGAGAGAGAGAGAGAGAGAGAGAGAGAGAGAGAGAGAGAGAGAGATATTGCATTTTAAGTTGGAGGATTGCTTGGTGTTCAGGCCCTACCAAATTCCATGGTTTCCTGAGTGCGCACATCATATCCATTTGGCTGGACATTCAAAGCTATGGCTGGTGCAGTGCCTAGCATGCTATGGACATCTGATATTTTCTTGCTAAATGAATGACTGCATATGTCAGGAGAGGAATGGAAGGAATCCTGACAGAGGCCAAGGGGCTCTGTATGTTGGCTCCATGGCCATTTGATTGCTCAGTGCTTGCCTGCTAAATAACTGTCAACTCTCTCCACTTAAATCAAAAATAATACACAGGTAAATATATGATCATGAGAACAAAAACTCAGATGTTCAAGTACTCCTTAAAAAAGATTAGAGTTGAAAAAATTAAAAAACTTAAACTACCATATGATCCAGTAACCACGTTTCAGAGTCTATATCTAAAGGAAATTAAATCATTGTATTGAAGAGACGTCTGAACTCCCACATTCAGCACTATTCACAATAGCCAGAGATGAAATCAAGCTGAGTGTCTATAAGTGGTTGAATGGATAAAGAAAACGTGGCATAAATCCACAATGGAATACCACCAACCTTAGAAAAAAGAAATTCTATCGGTTTTGGACAGAATAGATGGAGGACTTTAGGCTAAGTGAAATAAGCCAGGTGCAGGAAAAACAAAACCACATGATCTCACTCATCTAGAATCTAAAAATGTTGACTTCACAGAAGCAGGAAATAGAATAAAAGGTAGTTGTCAGAGGCTGGGTTTGCAGTCTGGGAGATGTTGGTTCAAGGATACAAAATTTCAGTTTGACAAGAGGGATGATTTCAGGAGATCTACAACATGTTATGGTGACTACAGTTAATAACAATATATTGCATATAGATGCTTCTTGACTTTGAATGGGGTTATGGCCCAATGAAACTACTGCAAATTGAAAGTATTCTAGGTTCAAAATGCATGTAACACACTTTGGGTATTACCCTAGCCTAGTGACACAGAATGCTGCACAAAGTCGATTCTTTACCTCATGATGGCTTGGCTCGCTGCAGCTCCATGCCACAGCCTAGCATTGTGGGAGAGCATCATAACACACACTACAAGCCGGGAAGGAGATCCAAAGTCAAAATTCTCAGCACGATTTCTACTGAATGTGTATCACCTTCATGCCATTGTAAAGTCACAAAATTTTAAGTCAAGCCACCATAAATCAGGGAATATTTGACATGAAAATTCGCTGAGAGTAAATGTGAAGTGTTCTCACACAAAAAAATTGTAAGTATGTGAAATGATAGAAAATTCAATTATCTTGATTTAGGCATTCTATAATGTATACATCCTGTTTTAAAACATCACATTACATACCTTAGAAAAACTTCACCATGGGTCCAAGAAGATAAAACAAAATGAGAGAGAGAGAGAGAGAGAGAGAGAGAGAGAGAGAGAGAGAGAGAGAGAGAGAGAGAAATGAATCAGTTACACAGCACAGCACACTGGGTACAAACATTCTGGACTCTAACTTAACCTGTGCCCAAAGCTGGTCATTTGACCTTGGTTGACCCAACTGATCTCCATGCTTGGCTTTTCCATCTGTGTGGTGGGCATGGAAGGCATTGCCTATGCCACAGGGTGTTCTGTTGGTTGAATGCATGGCCCCTATGTGAGCAGGTTTCTTCACAAGCTAGAGTGTCTGCAAGTACCCAGGCACCCCAGGGACCTCTCCCTTTCTTTAGCACGGCCAGTTCCTGAGGGAGTATGTTGTCACTAGGTAAATCTGCTGGCTGTTTAAACCTACAGCCCGAGTCAGAAAAGCACAAATGGTGTTTCCACAAAACTAGATTGAATTAGAATTAGCTGGATTAGTTGTCTGTTCAGTTTCATTTAAAATCAGTTGAATGAAGCTTTTAACGAAATCAATTTCTTATGGTCTTAATATCCCGAATGAACACTTAAAATAGTGTTATTATTCCAAGCAGAATCATTTGGCATGGAGAATAGAATTGATGGCCTTTTAAAATTGTGGGGAATAACCAGCACTGGAAAAACATTGAAAAGAAAACCAAAATAAAACCACACCGGGAGTCTTGGATCACCTGGGAGGGGAGAGAAATGTCTGACCTTAGAGGGGCCTTCTAGCCACAGGACCAGGGGACAACTGAGGTTGGGAAGCATGCAGCACAGGAAAGGGGGCTGGTCCCATCTGGCACCTGGTTGATGCAATAAACTAGGTCTCATGGGCATGTCCTCAGGTGACCTCAGTGTCCTTTGTGTCCTAGCTGGGCCTGAGTGACTCTCACAGAGTGGGGGTGATTTGGGGGTTGGCCATAGGAGGAAGAATCAGGGCCTGTAAAGGGATCCATTTCTCCTGGGGTTTACTGCCAGCATCCTACCTCTTCCTAGGCCCATCCTGCCAGTGGTGGTCTGGTGACCTCTGGGGTCTTCTGAATGAGCCTGTGCCTTCATAACCAGGACTCTTGTGGATCCACTCAGCATCTGCTCTTTCTCTAAGGCTCTGATCAGCCATGCCATTGTCATGTGCTCCCAGGGACCACCACACCACTGCTTTCATCCTTCAGGAAAGAGATCAAGTGACTTTAAATATCTCATGAAGACTGTTGGCACTGAGCAGAGATTCACACACTGGAAAAAGTTCTGAATTCTATCATGTTTCTGTGAGTCTCCCCTATAGACCTGGGCAAGGGATCAGGGACTCTTTCACTCCTTTGGGGGTCCCTTTTTTTGTTCCAGTGGAACCACAAGAAACCTGTGGGAAAGGGTCTATGTCTCCACAGAGCTGATACATGATTCCTTCTAGAGCCTCTTTCTGGCCTGAAGGAACCTCTGGACTGGGGCTATCCTCCTGAGAGTGACACCGAAGTGTGTACCTGATACTTAACAGGTGGCTGAGAGGTGGTTGATGCACAGGATGAGTATGGATCTTAGATGAGTGGACTTTAGTGTCTACACCTGCATGGGGCAGGCCCATGATGGAGGATGGAGCTTGTCAGGGGGAGGAGAAATGTGAAGACCCCCAGGACAGGTAGGACACTGGGACCAGAACACTGAGACCCCAACGTGGTGTTCTGGCTCAGATCACTAAGGAATCCAAGTATCTTCATACTGAATTTTATCTTCTAGGATGTAAAGAACACATTGCCATGGAGGAGTAGAACCTAAACATTACACTTAAAAATTTATTAAGTTAGCATTTTTAAGTATTTGGACACATGATTCATGAACCTCCTTATACTCTTGCCACGAATCCCCAAAATGTTAAGGGGATTGTCACAAAACACCACTTCTCAGAGAATAGTGGCTGTATTTATGCATGTTTAATGATCTCCATATATTAAACTCTCAGATTCACCAGCGAGAGCCCACAACTGCCGTGTTCACTGGGCATCCCACTGCCCAGGTGTGTTGTTCCACAGAGCCCACTAATGCTATTGTGATTGAATGAGTGAAATAAGTCCCGTGAGGTCCAGGGAGCAGAAATTCTATTCCCTATCCTTGGAGAAGAATAAGCAAAAAATGGAGCTACTATGGACAGAAATAGTGAGAGAATCTGAATTTCCAGAAAGCCTTTATAATACAGCAAAATGTGATCTCAGAAAAAGATGCAGTCTGAGGAGGAGGGAGCCACATGGCCTTGGTGAACACAGCTGTCCCTTGGGACTTCCTGCTCATGGGAATTTATGTGTACCTTTCTTTGAATTCCACTTTCCCAAGATTCCCTTCTGCCTCTGATTTCTATCTGCAGGAAAATATTCCCACAGTTTCTCCATGAGAGCTCCTCCCACTGTCACTGAACATCCCTTGAGTTTGGCAGAACTTCCTGAAGATGTGGTGGTTATAGGGAAGATTGGTGCTGCTCAGTGGATTCTTCCATTCCATCCTCTATCTTCTCCTAATCCATTCTCTCTCTGGGCTGCTCAAAGTACTGCAAACTGCTCTCCTCCCCAGCTTCTCTGCTTGCCATTTTACATTCCTACCACCCCATCAAGGTTCACCACGCAGTCAGCCCTAAACTCTGCACATGAAACTCTGATCATTGATGACACATCTGTTCTTTATCTAACAAACGCATGTTGATGGGACATCAAACACTTAAAGGCACAGTTGGATGGTACTTATTGGCAGTTTTCTTATCAGATATTTATCATAAATGACCACATACCTTAAATTCTGTGCCCATAAATGATGCTAAGAACTTTATATCAATTACTGAATTTTATTTTCACAGTGATGCTATGAGATATGCACCATCATTAGCCCTATATTGAAATAAGAAAACAGTCTCAGAAAGACCAAAAGAATATCACCTGTAGTCACATGATGAATGGACAGCAAGGCCAGCATGCAAATGAGCCCACACTTTTAATTACTATTATAATTTGCTTTAAGTTCCCAACAAACTAGATTTTATGGTTAAACTTTCAATGACCTCCTGAAGAATCAGGACTGGGTCTTGTAGTTTGTGGATCTCCATGTTTATTCCTTTCCATTATATTAGAGAAACTCAAAGTTTTTGTTGAATTATTGTGTTAACAAGTGATAAGTTAACAATGCTTCTAATCACATAGTGAGAAAAGGAACAGAAACCCACAGACTGATTAGGTTGCATGTTTTGGGGTACATACATTTTCACTTACCTCCTAAGAACACAAATGCAGAATACAGAAGCAAGACTTTGTTCAGGGGATATTGCCATTGCCCCCAAAGGCCTCCCAGATTAGTAGAGAAGGCACATATACATCTAGACACATAAATAGACATTCATGTTGATAAAGAGGCCATTTAACGGGAAGGTCATTGCTGCTGCATCAGGCCCATCTGAGGTTTCAAGGCTCTGTCCCTTAATGGACATTTGACAACAGAGGATTCTTTGCCTTTTGTCCATGTCACTTCCCAGAAGAGTACTAGGGAAACCTATTGTTCAAGCAAATCTAAGTTTATTAAACCCACTTCAATAAAGGAAAGCACCCTTCCCCTGAGTCTTAATAGTGTCTCACAAAAGGGAAATGAGGAGACAAGAAATGGAAAGAATCAGGGTTGATGACGCTGTGACTTTGAACTGGTGGCAAGGGCAAGGGTACTGAAGTGGCCTTGGATAACAAAACCGAGAAGTAAGCTAGTTCAGCCTGTTCCCTGTCCCATCAGCCAGTATGTTCTGGAACAGGTAGCTGAGTATCCTCTGCTTATTTCCAGCATGGATTAACAAGGGAGCAATGATGATAAATAGAGTACAGATAGAGAGAGGGAGTTATGCTGTTGTTTTAGTCAGCTTTGTGTCACTGTGGTCAATCCACCTGGCAAAAACAACTTAGGGGAGGGAAAGTTTATTTTGGCTCATGGTTCCAGAGGTCCGTGGTCAGCCAACTTCAGACCCAAGGTGAGGCAGAACATCTTGGCACAAGCGCCCGACAGAGAAAAGTAGCTCAGAACACTAGAACCAGGAAGCAGAGAGAACACTTTGGTCATCTGGGACAAAATATAAACCCCAAAGGAAACCCTTACACAAAGTGACCTACTTTCTCCGGGCAAATCGTACCTGTCTACAATTACCACTCAGTTAAACCTATTCAATGGATTAATCCAATGATTTGGTCACAGCTCTGCTCTCATAATCTAATAATTTCACCTCTGAACATTTTTCAATTATCTCGCAAATGAGCTTTTGGGGTAATACCTTGTATCAAAACCTTATTACTATTTTACTTATTTCTCTTTAAAGTGAGATACTTTGCAGAGAGCCCTACACAGGCAAGCCTGTGGCTGAGAGCCTATCACAGGTCACCATGGAGAATGCATCATGTGTGACAGTGTAGGTAAGGAAGGCAAGGTGTTGTATTTTCATGCTGCAGCAGGTGTTCGAACTTGGAGGTGTGGACTAAGTTGTGAGGGGGCATATTTCCTAGTCTGGGAGAAGGAATGCAGATATTCAGAGAGGGACTGTGGACCAAGCAAGATTTTGAGGGAATACTTTGTAGAAAAGAGGATGAAAAGTGTTCATGACAGATGGAACTAGTTAACCAAAAGTACACTCAGTAGGTACAAATTGGTTATGTATGCATGTACAAATAGGTCACAATTAATCTCTTGGTAGTGCACCAAATAAAAAAAATTAAAAAGAAAATAAAATGCTTTGTTCTTG